AAAACAATGTGCCGGATCACTAGGAGGAGACAGCAGGGTGCTTTTCTAAGTCTGGAAATGTGGGATAGGAGATGGCCCGACTAGACTTGATGTGAAGGGGCCTGGTGCACAGGGGTCTGTGGAAAACCCACACCAGCTGGCCCACCAGCTCTTCCAACTTGACAGTCACCATGATTCGAAACGGATTCAGTGGCAATGTGTCTGGTTTGGGGAGACCTGACGTTAGAAAAATACAAGTGTAAAGGCACCACAGCTGTACTTACTGTGAGAGAAGCATCTACTGGAAAATGGAGCTTATTCAAAAGTGGAAGACTGAGCAACAAAGAAAGAAGAAACCATGTCCAGATCCACTATGAGTGCACAGGTTCAGCTGGACCCTGCCTGGGGAGCTAAGAACAGCCCAGTGCTCATGCATGATCTGGGCTTGTTACACACATGTTGTTGTTACATGCCATCTAGTGGGAAGTGACTCATGGTTGATCCTCCGGCAGGTTTTCAAAGGCTGTACATCGCCCAAGAGGAGCTTGCCCACCTTCCTCCTGAGGAGTGGCCGGTAGATTTTAACTGCCTGCCTCTGGGCTGTCATAGCAACTTCTTATCCACTAGCTCATCCAGAGTTCCCTAGCTGCACACACAGCCAGTCCAACTAGTAAAGGAGGGAGAAAAAAAAAGCCATACTTTGTTCTTCCTATGAGTAACATGTATTTAGAGGAAAAAATACATTTGGTAAAAAGATAAAGGGGGGGGGGGAATAACTAATCCTCAATCTCATAACCTCAAGAGAATGGTAAAAATATATAAAACCCCAAACCAACCAAGATTCAAACTCATGTTGACTCACAGTGCAGTCAGAGGACCTCAGAGTGGGGTTTGCAGACATGCCTCATCTTTAGTCTGGGCACCAGGATTGGGCCTCAAACTTCCAACTTTTCAGCCAGCAGCCAAACACATGACTATATACTCATGACAAAAAAAAACCCAAACAAAGGACTCACTGTACCCAGAGCTCACTTCGGAAATGGAAAAGTGCACCAGCCATAGTCGGCGAGTCACAGAAGTCTGATGCTTTTGTGTGTTCCCCTTATGAGCCCCATGAGAGGGTGGTCAGCTCATTTTGGAGGAGCACTAACAGAGTGTGTGGCATGGATTCTCCTCAAATGGCAGGGTGTTCTCCCTTTCTAACAGGCACACAGCTGTACTTCAGAGGCATGGCATTAGGAGACCCTTGTGCTCCAAGCCTGGCCCACCACCAAGGCTACAGGAGATGGGCTCACTGAGCCAGCCAGCACAGAGGGACCTCTGGCACACCATTTTCCAGAAGTTTCCCCAAAAGTCACAACAGGACAGCAGCACTGCCCTCCAATACTGACAATGCTGCTCCAGGAATCACAGGCCCTCCGGGGAAGGGGGCAGTGGTTCCGAGCCCCAGGCTGGGTGGGTACCACAGGACGGGTGGTTTCAAGTCAGTAACAACGCAGACTGTGCCACCACGGTCTTCCACTGCAGCTCAAAGGAAGGAGTGTTACACTTCCATTATGAAAACACATAGAAAACTGCCAACAGTATAACACACACCGACAAACACATCACAACTGCTAATTTTATCAATTTCATGTCTTCTATTTTGTTTTTTTCCTAAGGTATTTTATAGTAAATGATATATACCTTTCACCTCTGAAAAATGAACTTCCTATATATTTTACATTGTTTCCATTAACAAGTATGCTATCAGAAAGGCGGCTAATAAACACTTCTGCATCACTTTTACCAACTCACAGTTGCCCCTCCAGGTTTTCAGAGGCCGTAAGCCGCACAGGAGACTGCCTGTCTTCTCCTGAGGGTCAATTACCTGGTGGATCTGAACTGTCTGCCTTTAGGCTGGCAGCACAACTCTTCATCCACTGGGCCACCAGAGAAGCTCCACAAATGGACTCAGTTCAGGGAGAAGGGCCGTCTTCTCTGTTCTAGGTGATTTTCCCGAACCTCCGATCTTCACTTCCAAGTCACCACAGATGCTGCTTGTGGGGGCCTGCTGGAAGTTCCATTAGAGGTGCCTGGCTCCTGCCTGCTTCACAGCCATCTTTGGGGCTCAGCCATGTGTGTTACCATTCTCTCCAAGAGCCTGAAAAAGCAGCCCTTCCATAGTGACTTCAGACCATGGTTGTGTGATAGAATTCTGAGCCACTTCTGGTCATCTGCACTGCTCTGTTTTACAGGCAGCCCTACTTCTGATAGGAATGTGAATGTAGAAGAGGCCGGGACCTGCTTTAACATCATCAAACTTACCAGAGGTCACATCTGTAAGCACACAACAAGGCAAAAGTTTCTCCAAGCCCTTTAATGATCACTTAAAACAGTTGAGGCATAAGCAATAATAAAAATGGCATTTTTCACATGACAATAGAATTCTTTATGATATCTACATGATAGATCAATCTTCTCAAAATCTCTTCTAGTCTGCAGGGTGAATCAATAAAGTCTCAACAGCTGAAGACAGCAAACGATGGACTGACCCGGGGTGACATTGGCTGTTGGTATGCACAGGGGGTGAGGCTTCACACAAGCCAGATGTGAATGGACATTCTACAATTACCTGCTCACAAGACAGGTAATTTCCTGCTACTCTCACGAAGAGTTTGTTTTAAATGCTCCTGTGCCCATGCACACGCACAAACAGAGACATCTTTTGTCTAAAGGTGCTTGTGAACGCATGCTGGCATAGGGTTTTCATCTGCACACTGTCCCTGCGCACAGTGTGAGAGCATGGGTCAATCAGCCTGTCTACTACAGCCCTGTGTCGTCTCCTGCCCACGTACTGAGGACCACTGCCTGGCTTCACTGCCATCCTGAAACTTTAGGTAAGACAGACACAGTCTGAGTCACAAATGTTTCTGCAACAGTTGAAAACAGTGGTTGTTCTCTACTTCAGTTTTTTAACGCTTCGCTTTTACAGCAAACAAACCTTGTTGTTTAAAGATCATGTTTACCAGTCTAACTAGCTCCAAGTGAGTAAGGAGTTGCACTGTCAACTCAAAGCCAGGCAGCTCAAACCAATAAGCCACTCCATGGGAGAAAGACAGGCAACACGCCCTGTGTAGTTTACCCACTGGAGCATCAGCTAGGAGTTGGTCCCCACTAGACAACAAAGTAAGAAGGAAACTGACGTTCACATTATCTTTGCATTTTTAAAAGCAATAAAATTGATCCAAGTTTTCAGGAACTTGAGTGATACTGAGATTGTACTACCATGTAGTTCCATTCTTCACTTGGTCAACCAGTCTGTGTTTCCTGGGCCAGCTCTCTTCTTCCCAAGCTGTTCCTCCTCTCTTCTCCAGCTAACTCTCTATCCATGCTCAGGGCAGCAAGACAGGACAGTGGTTCTCAGCTGCCTGATCGATTCTGGACTACTCACCTACACACTGATATTTTCTGGCCATCTTGTATTACCTACCAGTACATCCCTCTCCAAAATCCCTCTGCCAGGTCTGGAACCACACACCTAGACGGTACCTGATATGAAGCATTTGAGTCATAGCCTGATGTGCTATTTTAAGTAAATGAAGAAAATACTACAATAAGCCCAGCATGTACATGACACACACCTAGGGCCTCAGGGATCAGCAAAAAGTGGAGTCTAAGGATAGTCCAAACCCTTACAACTATACCACATCTAACACAAAAACCTAAGCTAAGCAAGTTTCTAATCAAGCCAAAACAAAAAGCCAAATACATTTTCAAGAAAAATTTTCGGGGTCTCTCTACATAGTTTTCGAAGAGAGTAAATCAATTTGTAAAAAAGGAAAATATTGCTTAGTTCCACATGTGCCACTAAGCCCCTAAATCCATATTCTAGTTCTGAGATGGAATCTGACCACAGCCTGTCAACATGTAACAGGAGATCGCACTAGCTTCACTCTTTTCACATCTTCAGTGCCAAGGTCACACCTAATTCTCAGTACATACCAAGGGAAGTGAACCATGTCACAAACAGAATCACAAATATGGAGATACAGCCAAGATTTAAAAAAAAAAAAAAAAGGAAAGGCAAACCGTAATAAACATTCTGTCCAAGTAAATGAACTCTACCATAAGTTTCAGACTGATTTACAGGGCAGTAAAAGATCATTTAGAATTTCAGGGGAAATGAGCATAATAGTTGGACCATTTAAAAACCAATTTAGACAAATGCAAAGTCAATGCAGCAAGCAAGAGTGCATACTGAAGAGTACTAACAATACAACATCCACCTGGTTCAAACACACACGGTCTTGGAAAAGCGGACTTGAAGACGCTGTACAGAACCCTATCAACTAGCAGCTGAAGGGGCATCTCTGGCATCAGTGGGCCAGTTCCCTACTACAAATGAGCTCACAAAAGTTAGTGAGGCCATACAGTCTTAGCTCCCCACGCTATTTGCAACCACATTTATTTAAAATACAAGGAGATAAATAACAAGTATATTTTAAATCCACTGATTTAAACATCTCAAGACTAATCCACTGGGCAGTAGTGAGGTTAGCACAACATGGCAGCACAGCTCACATTTCTATGTTTAAGAGATTCAATGAGAAAAGGACTCGATTTTAATGTCCACTTTTAATAAAAAGTTATGCTTTCCTCCAAATTTCTGATGCATAATAAATGTCTTAGTTTTCAAAATACGTATTCTTCAACATCTACTTTCCCCCATCTTTCAAAACTGATCAGTAGGTATTACTAACATAGCTAGCTAGTGTCATATGTACATTTTGTTTAGAAACAAACAAAATCCATTTTGGTTACTCAGAGTGTATTTATAAAATGAAAAGCTATCAAAATACACGTTTTACTGGGAAAAATAAATAAAACAGATGCATCTACACAACGTAAAAATGGACTTTGGCAGATTGCCAGGCACTGTCAACACGCACGGCTGGCCTTGTTCTCCCAGAGTTGCCTGCTCATCTTCCAACCTTCAAATTTAAAAAATATTTTAGATGGTTGATTCTATTGACCTTTTTTCATTCCACATCATCTTCAGCCAAGCTCTGAGCACTTACAATTCTCTAAAAGAAAAAAAAAGGCAGAGATGGACATCATGTCACTAAATAACAGAAATGTTTAAAAATCTAGATTTTTTTAAAAGTACAACATAAAATGCTCTTTGTAGTCAAAGAATCAAATTTGATTCATATTCACCCTGGGTGTTGACAATACAGTCATTTAAAACATTAAGGGAAGAACATGGTTCTAACATGGTTGGGGGGATCTTAAAAATTTGGGTGAAAATATGTTACCTATCCTGACATTTAATTCAACATTTAGCACTTACCGTTATCACATTAACACATTTTTAAATCACTGTTTCAAAACTGGAGTTATTACAGGAAGTGTATAATTTTATTATGCTACATGGCCTTCAGGGAGCTCTGGTGGCTTAGTGGTCCTGAGCTGCTGTCAACCCAAAAGCAGGGGGAAGTCAGACTCCACCAGCTGCACCTTGGGAGAATGATGGGGCAATTTCCTTCCGTGCAATTAGCTGCCTCTGAAAACCTGCTGGAGAGTCAGCAATGGGACAGCTCCCAATTGACAGTACTCAGCAACGTGTCATCCAATCATATGTAAGGGAAACAAAGCCCAACTCTTCACTCCCGGGGAAACTAAGAATCCTACCTGTGCGTATATCCCAAAGGGACAGATCTTTCTCCTCCTTGAAAGGAAATAGTGAAAAGAGGCAGTGTGCTAATGAGGTGAGGGTTTATTTATGGCCTCCTCTGGGTGGGCCTCTGGGCTAGAGTCTGGATCAATGAGAAAATGCCATGGGGAGGTCAAAGTTTAGTAGGTGGATCTCATTCTGGTCCTTGTTCTCTGTAGTCATTCATGTGCCCAAAGCACTAATTCTATGCATGTCAATGTGACTGTGCTTTAATACTTTTCAAGTATTTTCCTTTTGGGCCTGGAAATTCTCAATCATTGCACATAAAAGAATGCAGCACTATAAAATTACCATTTGTAAAACATTTCCAGAAAATGTGAGACAAGTTAATTGACCAGGAAGTCATTTTTAGTGGCATGGAATTGAGGCAGCTCAGATTGAGATTTAAGCTGAAGGACCAAGACCTTCGTTTTTCCCCAGCAAAACCACTAGGCCAGGCCCTCGGCCCAGTCCTTTGCAGATTTTGCACTCCTCAGATTCTGAAGAGCTCACCGTTGCACTCCATCTCTTACCTGACTAATTGTGGGGAGCTTGGTCAGAAGCATCTGAAACACCGGCGGGGGAAGGGTCTGCTGTAACACCTGCAGCAGCTGCTGGGGCTGCCCGCACACAGCAATAGCGTTTGTCAAATGGTCCACACCCTTCTCATATTCACCTGGGAAGGGTCACAAAAAGGATAAAATCTTAAAATTACAAAAACTTAAAAATCCTTTCTCTGTGTCAGATACTTCTCTCCAAATGACATATAAACAAACATTCCAGTCAAATCTAAAAGCATCCACAGTACATAACTAAATACTACACAGCCACTAGCAAGAATGAATCAACTCAGACGAACAGAGACAGATGCAATTATGTTTAAAGTGTCCAAGCAAATCACCACTCGTAGACCCTTACAGACTTACAGCAGTAGTTTCTCAAAACTACCTTAGAAACTGTTAACAGTGGAATATACTTCTCTCTTAAGAAAGCAGCAAGATTGGGAACAGAAATATGAAATAAAGTCAATTTCACTTAAAACAAACTTCTTTTTCTGTGTCCCTAAAAATTCTCTTTTCAAGAAACCAACTGGTAAGTAATATTCCCTGGTCCCTCAGACTTCTATACTTCTCCCAAGCAAAGATATCCACTGTCTTTGCTCCAGATAAAATACAGCATTCCCCTATGGTAAGGTTCATATGAGATAACACCTTTCTAGAACAAACAGTGGGTATTCTTATTCTCCACTAGGAAAGATTTAGGTTCTTTCAATTCAAACTGGCCACCTTCACACCCCAATAATGAATGCAACCTACTTACTGCATGTAAAGGACATACACATGGGAACTGGGGCTGCAGAAACCAGTGCAAATGCTGGTTCCCCAATTTCTGAGTTCTAGGACCTAAGTAAAGAGTGCCACAAAAATGGTGCAAACCTGCTCCGGCGCACCACTAGCAAGTGTCCTTCGTGTTTGATTCTGAAGTGTTGCGCCTTATACTAGCATTCACGAATACTGGGAAAAGAGGACTTGTTAGCATAGATTTCAGACCATTCACAGTCTTGATACTAATGTTTTAGTAAGATATTTATGAAAAGTTTTTCATTATGAGAAACGTATGTAGTTGCGCTTTCAAAGTATTAGTGGAATAGGAGTTCTGGTGGCCTAATGGCAAGAAGCTGCTACCAAAATAATGTAGTTCAAGGCCACCAGCCACTGCATGGGAGAAGGACATGCAATCTTCTCCAGTCCAATCAACTGTCTCTGAAAACCTGCCAGAGGGTCAGCTATGGCTCAGTTCCAACGCTACAGTACACAATAATAGTAATCATTAACCACTTAACAAATAGTTACCTGGTGCTCAGGCACTGACCTTCCTCTAGTATGGCTCGTAGAAACAGGTTCACATGATTTTAACAACACTCTTGTTAAGGACGAATATGATCATTTTACATGGGAAGAAACTGAGGCACAGGACAATTGATTACTTTCAAATTAATCAACTTTTTCTTCATATAGAGCACAGGTATTAAAACAATTCAGATTTACCCTAAACTACAGCCAGGAAATTAAGAGAATGGGAAAGTCGGCTGTTAGGGATCTCTCCAAAGTACTGAAGAGCAGTGGTGTCTCTCTGGAGACTAAGGTGCATCTGATACAGGCCATGGTCTTTGTAATCACTTGTTATGCATCAGAGAGTTGGACAATGACTAGAGAGGACAGAAGAATTGATGCCTTTGAGCTGTGGTGCTGGAGAAGAGTATTGAGGGGACCATGGGCTGCTAAGAAAACAGATTCATCCTGGAGAGGTTAAATCGGGCTGCTCCTTGGAGGCAAGGATTCTGGGGCTTCATCTGACATACTTTGGACATGTTGTAAGAAGGGACCGGTCCTTGGAGAAGGACATCATGCTTGGGAGGGTGGACAGGAGAGGAAGGCCCTCTATGAGGTGGACTGATTCAGTGACTGGGGTAATCGGGATGGGTGTGTTGGAGACGCTATGACTGACACAGGACAAAGCAGAGTTTGTACACAGGGTAGCTATGAGTCCCAAGCAATTTGACAGCACATCACAACAACAGCAACAGAAGGATCCACCCTGAAAACAAATCCTAACTATTAAAAAACCTGTTACATTCTGAGCCTTACACAAGCATGGTTCATGTTACTTTTATGATACCTACAGACCAGACCTACTATCACACCAGTTCCTCCTCTTAGTGACTATTACCTTGGGCTAGCAACTCCTCACCAAGCTGTATTTCTTCAAGGAAGAACTTCTGAACAGCTTCAGCATCTTTTAGGTCTGGTAACTGTTCAGAAACAATAGAGCATTAAGGAATTGGAAATACAATGTTTAGTAACCAATACCAAAATGTCAACAGAAAGTGCCCATAATCCTAAAATAGTGACCCCAACCAGTCTCACCTATAACCACATTTGCAAGGATGGAATTGTATTACCTAAATCTAAATGAAAGAAAAGTAAAGACTTACTTATCAAACTGCCTTTAAATAAAAGTTCTCAATGGGGGGAAGTAGGGAGGAAAATGTGCAATGATGAATGAACAGAAATCCAAGTTCTTTATAAACTTAAGCTCAATTTAAAAAAAGTTCTTAATTATAAAGGATACAAATATGTCTACTATAAAACCCATTTTACAAAACTTTTCACTTCAATAATTATAAACTTTACACAACTGTCATCAGTTTGTTCTTCTGATTATTATCTTGCATAAATTTCACACACATCTAAAAGATGAAATATTTTCAAATGGCAATAAATGGTAAACCTGAAGTAAATGATTTCATCATCATGACTGACTTAATGAGCATGTGAAGCACTTCTCATTTTTTTTGCTATTATAAACACCTCTAAGAAGTTTTATTTAAACATCTGTATCTCTCTTAGAAATTGCAAATTACCTAGCTGAATGACTATGATAATAATATCCAATATTACCATCTATACTTCTTGGTTTTCCAAAACCATTAAAAAGTTCACTTTTCTTTAACGACTTTGGCTTCTATCAGTTAAGTTTTGGGTTCCTGAATAAGTGTGCACGTATATGCTCTTATTATCCTAGCACAGCAAAAGAATGTTGTTTTCTTTTAGTCCCCCTTAAACCTAAATATGCACAAGTAAGTATTCCAACTTTTCTGTATCTTTACAAAAGGGCTACTGGAGCCTGGTGAGTCAGCTCTGAAAGGTGTACTTACATATCCTCCCAGTTCCCACCATCATTGCCACTGTCTATTTAATTACCTGATTACTCAACTGCTTCAGAATAACTAGTAATAATAGTAACATTAATTTATTTTCTTGTTCAAATTCCTAATTTAAAAAAAACCCCAACTGCTTACACAGATGTGTGCCATATTTGTATAAAAATTGAACAAAAATCACTGGTACATAAGTATTTTTATGTATATATGTAGCTTATCTCTGAAGCAATATAGTCACTCAAAGAACAAAATGAAAAGAAACTGCCACATACAACCACAATAGATTAAATATTGGAGAAAAACCAACTAACTATACCCTGTGTTTCAGAGTAACTTATGGACTCTAACGTAACTTTTAGAGCCACACAAGCATTATATATTCAAAATATCAATAAAAATATAAATTAAAAACAAATTGGAAAAAATCCTCCATACTGATCTAGTGGTCCCAATTTCTGGAAATCCAGACAACACAAACTGATTTATGTTGAAAAGGGGGGGACTTATACATATAGTGATAAATACTTACTCACTTAATTTATTTACATAGGTCAGAGAACACATTTTATGAAGTGAATAAACCTATGCAGTCGTTAAAAATAATCATGAACACAGGATCTATTAAAAAAATGAATAAAAATTTTATATCTATGTTTGATACAAGGTAAAAATCTGTCAGGACAGAGGGTCTCTGGGTCACAGGATATGAAAGCCATGAGATGCTTTGAAAGGAAGCTGAAACAAGGAACAACTAAACCAATGTCACGTTTTATTTGAAGCAGCTGAGTAAGAAAATTTGGACCTTTTGATGCCAATGTCTTAATCCTATTGTCTCCTAAATACTGCTTGTACAGTAAGTTTCTATCGTGGTCAATAAGGGGGAAACAAAAAACCCCAAAAATTAGTACTTAAATTCAGTTAATGATTCCCAAATACATTATACTTTAAACTAGAAAACTAGGTTTGCTATCAATTAGCTTTCACACAAAAAATGCATACCTGAAGCAGATTCTAAAATATTTTTTCTCAACAAGAGTAACACAATCTTTAAAAAGGCGAAGTGCATTACCTTGGAAAGGCCCGCTCTCTCCTTGGCAAGCTTCTGCTTCTTTCTTCCTGCAAGACAGTATTTTACTGTTATCAAAACTGGTAAGGAGGATAGTACAGCCCTTTGGATCACTGACTCTGATGTCCCTGGGACCTGGCAGGAGGGTAATCCTGTCTACCAGCTGGGGGTTGCCAATGCCACAGATCGGGGCAGAAGCCTTTTCTCTTTCCCTCTGGGGCATCAGAATCAGTTAATTTTTAAGAGAGGATCTGGGTTTCAGAGTAATTTGTTAAATTGTTCTGCCAGAGATTTTTTTTGTGGGTTTTTTTTTTTTTCCAAGTCTCAGGATAAAAAATAGTTTTAAACCATAATCATCAATTCACATATTAAACACCCCACAGCAGTGTGAACTGCTGATGGCACATGCCCCAGGGAAGGCGGCTGAGAACCTGGTTGACCACAGCCTGCCCAGCCGCCAGCACCACCCTAAGGCAGTTCCCAGCGTCCCACATGTTGGTCTCCACAATGGCACTTGGATTATGTTTGAGGTTATAGAAAGCTTTGGAAACAAATTGGTGGTGTTTGCATAACACTGTGAATGTACTGAGATTAAAGTCATGTCTTTTAAACAAATAGTAAGTGGACTTCAGGCTATGTGTACTTAAGCCTCCCATACTACTATTTATTTTGCTCAAGCCTCACCTACTGCTACTTATCTACAAGGTAGAGAACAGCTGCAAAAACACCCTAATTAAAAGAAACAGCCCATCAGAAAGAAAGGCGACTCACAGATTCCATTTCCTAAACAACAATTTAAGGGATATGGTAAAAATGACACTTAATAGGGTGAAACTCTGTTTTTTTACTGTTTTAAATGAGAGGATGATTGCTGTTGAATACGTTTTTTTGGCTGACAGAGTTTTGAAATTTCAAGATCACTTAGCTGTTTTACATTCCCCCCCAAAAAATTAAAATTCTGTTTTCATTTCTTAAGATAGTTTGTTAGAGTAAGTTCTATTCAGATCTAGTATCACATCACATCTCTGTGAAAGGAACTGATGATGCAGTGTGAGAACTCAAGAAAAAGAATTACAAACTCAATCTATAAAACCAGGCATCTACGGATGTTGTTGTTGTTATGTGCTGTCGAGTCGTTTGCGACTCATAGCGACCCTATGTACAACAGCCCTAAACCCTGCTCTATCCTGTGCCAATCACATTGCCCGACACCCATCCCAATTACCCCAGTCACTGAATCAATCCACCTCATAGAGGGTCTTCCCCTCCTGTGCTGTCCCTCTCCAAAGACCTGTCTCTCCTTACAATATATCCAAAGTATGTCAGACGAAGCCCCAGAATCCTTGTCTCCAAGGGGTAGCCTGGTTTAACCCTCTCTAGGATGGATCTGTTTTCTTGGCAGTCCATGGTACATTCAATACTCTTCTCCAGCACCACAGCTCAAAGGCGTCAATTCTCCTTCTATCCTCCCTAGTCATTGTCTAACTCTCTGATGCATAACAAGTGAATGCAAAGACCATGGCCTGTATCAGGCCCACCTTAGTCTCCAGAGAGACACCGTTGTTCTTGAGTACTTTAGAAAGGTCCCTAACAGCAGACTTTCCCATCACATTTTTTTTATTTCCTGGCTGCTGGTGACAAGAGTGTTGACCGTGGAGCCGAGCAAACTGAAGCTGTGAACAATCTCAATCTCTTCGCCATCCATCCTGATGCTACCAGTTGGTCCAGTGGTGAGAATCTTTGTCTTCTTGACATTGAGCCTCAGTCCATACTGAAGGCTGCAGTCCTTGACCCTCTTTTTTTTTTTTTTGCCAGCACCAGTTGTTAAAAAGGCTGCCCTTTCCCCACTTAACTGATTTCATCTTCTTGTCAAAAATCAGTTGACCATACGTAGATAGGCTGAATTCCAGGTTCTCAATTCTATTCCATTGATCTATGTGTCTGTCATTGTACCAGTACCACACTGTCTTGACCATCATGGCAGTGTAGTTGGATTTGAAATCAGAGAGTGAGATGTCTCCTACCTTCTTTCTCTTTTTAAGGAGTGCTTTGTTTATTCGGGGCTTCTTTCCATTCCAAATGAAATCGGAGATTGCCTTTTCCATTTTGCTGAAGAATGGAATTGGTATTTGTATTGGGATTGCACTGAACATGTAAGCTGCCTTTGGTAGTACTGTCATTTTCACAATATTGAGTTTTCCTATCCATGAGCAAGGGATATTCTTCCACTTCTCCAGGTCTCTTTTTGTTTCTTGTAGTAATATTTTGTAATTTTCTTTGAACAGATCCCTTGTGCTTCTGGTTAGATTTACTCCCAAGTATTTATAATCTTGTGATTAGCTATTTTGAAGGGTATTGTTTTTCTTAGCTCTGGCTCTGTATTCTCTTTTTCACTGTAGAAAAATCTAATTGATTTTTGTATGTTGATCTTGTATCTTGCCACTTTGCTGAATTGGTCAACTACGTCCAATAGTTTTCTTGCTGAGTCTTTAGGGTTTTCTAAGTATACAATCATATCAACTGTATAGAGAGATAATTTTACCTCCTCTTTGCCAATTTAGATACCTCTTATTTCCTTCGCTTGTCTTATTGCTATTGCTAAGACTTCCAATATTGAATAGGAGAGGTAATAAATAGTGGGCATCCTTGCCTAGTTCCTGTTCTCAAAGGGAATGTCTTTAATCCTCTCCATTGAGAACAATGTTGGCTCTTAGGTTTGCATATATATCTTTTACTACAATGAAGAAATTCCCCTCTAATCCTATTTTGTTGAGTGTTTTAATCAGGAAAGGGTGTTGGATTTTGTCAGAGGCCTTTTCTGCATCAACTGATAGGATCATGTTGTTCTTATTCTTTGCTTTATTTATGTGATGAATTAAACTGATTGTTTTCCTTATGTTGAATCATCCTTGCATACCTGTTATGAATCCAACTTGGTCATGGTGAATTATTTTTTTGATGTATCATTGTATTCTATTGGATAGGATGAATAATAACTAATCAAGCACTGGATCATGCAACTCATAACAATTAAGTGAGAACTACATCATTCTTATGTCTAGTAGGTCAATGTTAAATTAGATTTAGGGACTTACAAGGTACCAACAGTATGATAGGCAGAAAGTTAGGGTATCTCTGTTTGTAGTAGATTATACTATATTATCCTTTTAAAAAAAGTCCAAGTTCATAAAGCAATTGAATTCTATCTCTTGCTAAGGGCTTTAGTCTAGTAAATCTGCTGTTTTTAAGTTTTAGGGGTACTTAACTCGACTCCTTGGCATCAAGTTGAAAGGAACTCATAGCCTATTCTCCAATGAGTTTCTGAGGCTATAAATCACATGCACTGAGATGGCGCTGTGGGATGGTCTTTGGGTTAAAAGAGTGTAACTCCCCTCTAGACTAAGGAACTAGAGCTCCCTTTTGGGGGTACAGAGAAATGTCATTTGGCCTTCAAACATTTATGCAAAAGAGATGGATCTCACTCCCGAGGAATGCTGTGTAGTAAACAGAGAAGCCTACTTTAAACGGTGTTGCTGCTGTCAGGTGCCACCACATCAACTATGACTCACAGCAACCTGAACAGAAGATCAAAACCTTGCTCACAAGCCTTCTTCACTGTGTCAGTCTTCTCCTTGAGGGTCATCCTCTCCTCTGCCCCACCCTTGCCCACATGCTATCTTTTTCCAAGGACAGACTGGCTCCTGATAAATTCAAACTATGTGAGATGAACTTTCACCATCCTTGCCTACAAGAAGCAGTAGTCTGCCTTCCAGGTCAGGCTTGTTAATTCTTTTAGCAGTCCACGGGATGGTCGGTACTCTTCTCTAGCACCACGGTTCAAGGGCATCATTTCTTCTGTGGTCTTTCTTATTTGTTGTCCAACATTCAGACAAACAGAGAGAAAAAAAAAACCTAAGCCCTGGATCAGACACACTTCAGCCTTTAACTGACATCATTGTTCTTTAGCATTTTGGCAAAGCTCTTGACAGCTGATTTTCCCAATGCAACAAGCCTTCTGAATTTTTAACTGCCACTACCATGAGTGTTTACTGTGGATCCAAGTAAAATGAAACTGCTGACATCAACTGCATCTATCATGATGATGCCTTCTTGGTAAAATGCTGTTGAAGTCATAGCTTCCACTCAAAGACTGTAAACTGCACAGGAGGAAACAGACCATCTTTCTTCTGAAAAGCAGTTGGGGGACTGTCCATCTTTCTGTTATCAGTGCAAATCCATACCCACTAGGCCATCAAACTCGAAGTTCCAATGGGTTTTCAGAGAGTAATTCACACTGGAGGAGATGCACCTTTGGCCTGGCAGCACAACTCCTTACCACCTGACCATCAGAGTTCCCTTATGATCATTTAAATTGATAAAAACATGCTTTACGGTAACTACACATGGCTGATACAAACATCTAGGAAGCATGGTAGTATAGTGTGTTCTACAAGGGGTTGCTAACTAAAAGGTCTGCAGCCAGAACCAACCAGCTGCTGGGCACGCAGGGAGTGTCTGTAGTAAATACCGTGTGTCTTGGAAATACCATAGAGCAGTTCTACTCTGTCCTACAGGTTACAGGTTCGCTGGGAATCAGAAATGACTCAACCACAATGGGTCTGTTCTTCTATTTTGAATGTGATCATATGCTCTTACTAATAAATGACAAAATGTTTAAGTTAAAAATGCCAGGTCTAATTCTAAGCTTTATTTCAGATTTTTAAAACACATACACAATAAAAATCAGGAATGCTAACAAGCCAAAATGACTTATTTGAAAAATTCTGCACTTGCTGTACATACCCTATTTATAATTCAACTAGAAAAAACTCAACCAAATAGATAGTTGTTGTGTACCACTGAGTCAGAACTGACCCACAGCTGACCCTCCAGCGGGTTTTCAGAGGTGGTTAACTGCATGAAAGGAGATTTCCCATCCTTCTGCATGCATTCAAACTGTAAGCTCTGGAATTGCAGTGCAGGTTCTTACCACTAGGCCACCAGAGCTACATTTTATAAATGTAATGAAACACAAGTTCTTAAAATAGGCAAATTATGCAATGAGGTTGAAACAGTAAAACTATTTCTAGCTAATATTAAAAACTGTACTCATAAACAATGTCTACCTTTATGCGTTAGTATGTGCCAGAGACTAGCTTCACCATCCCACTGTATAACAGAGAAGGTAAAGTTTTGTGTATTCATCTGTCCACTCAGCTAGCAAACCAGCCCTCAGCACTTAAAAAGGAATATCTCTCATCCGTTTTAAATGCAACTAAAAATAATCAACTCTTCTCAAGACTGCCTATTGCAATATTTCCAGAGTTTTCAATCCAGTCTTTTAGAACGAAGCATACTCCTCACTCCAAATCCTGAAGTTTAGAGGAGAAAGGGGACGCATCCCCACTTCACAATTGACACGTATGGAGCTGCCTTTGCTGTATCAGAAAACACTGGTGTGCACTTTAATCCTTTTTGTTAATATTCACAAAACCCACAAGAGGCAAGTAGTACTTCTTAGTTTTACAACTAAGAAAACAGAGAGCATGGAGAACTGGTCTAACACTCGCAATGCCCTAAGATCGTAGACGTCCAAAAAAAGCTTTACTAATCACAATGCAACGATTTTAATTAAAATACTTAATGCTTTTCAAGACAGGATGACTAATCAGATCTTCGTACTTCTCAAATTTTATCAACGAGCAACTATTTCAATGAAAGCAGATCCAAAAAAGAGTAATTCATAGCAACAAAGTTGCCAGTGAGTCAGCTTTCAGAGAGCTCCAGCGACCCCAGCCCACAGGCACGTGCGACCTCCCTGCACCGAAGCCTGTCGCAGGTATGAAGTGGGGATGCGCCACGGGCGAGCGCGGCCCCTTGGACTACCCTGCTGTGGCTGTCGCATCCACTCGTTATCTTGGGAGCACGGAGACAAGCCACCAAGGGGGTTTAAGGATGCCACCGCTGCACCTCACTGCGCCTGCGAGCTGACACCCCAGACGGGAAGTCCTCAAAGCCAGCTTCCGAGACGGAAAAGATCGGTGGGTGAGGATAGCAGGAAACAACCTGAAATTACGATGCTAAAACAGGCATGTGGACTACATACGTTTCGATTACATACTAGTTAAAACAAGCATGGAGACCCCATGCAGATTACGATGCTAATTATGACACGCATAAGATTACAATCTACAAGCCTAGACTGCGATGCCCAACGCGCCCGGGGAAAGCAAAACGGGAGAAATCCGTACAGAACCGAGACACCCGCGACCAGCCAGGGAGGCTGGCGGCAGCAGAGCCTCGCCCCGCCCTCCCCACCCCCGTGCACGGACGGCGGCCATGTCCGGCCCGAGCACGCGGGCGGCCAGTTTGCGCCTCGACGCTGCGGCCGGTTTGCGCCTCGACGCTGCGGCCGCGAGGGGGAGGCAGTGGGGCCCACCACGCGGGGACAGACTCACGCTCTCGAAGCCTGTTCTTGAAGTTGGGGTCACTCCGCCTCTTGCGGTCAAAGTAAATGCAGTAGCCAATGAAGAGTGCCCCGCACACCCCGGCGGCGATGGCGCTGTTCCGGCCCACCATCTTCTCTCAACCGCAATGGGGGGAAGAGTCGACCTCGAGCGAGTCGTTGACCCGCCAACCTTCTCCTAAATAGGAGGCCCAGCTAAAGAGGGAGACTAGGGAGGCCAGGGACCTGCGCAAGGTCCCGAGTGTCACTTCCGGCCTTGTCACCACCCAGGGTCGAGCCGAGGGCGTCCAGCGCACTGCCTGAGCAAAAATCGCCGGTTCCTGTAAGGTTCCGGCGCCCAAAGCGGTCTCGCGCGGAGACTGAAGGCGGAGACTCGCTCGGAAGGGATTCTGGGATTTATCGTCGCTCACTTCCGTCGGGCGGAACACTGCTGTCATGCGCAGTGAAAAGTCGGTCACTTACGTCAAACATGGCCGCCTACAATCTAGAAGATCATTGTTTTGCTTTTGTAAAATAGGGCGGCCTGTAGCTTCAGAATTTCCCAAGTACAATGAATATAATCTACTGATTGAACTTAAGTTTCAGAAGAATATTAAATATATTGTGAACATCAGAGAGCTGGACAATGACTAGGGATGATAGAGTTGATGCCTGAGATTGGGTGCTGGAAAGGAGTATTGAATACACCACATACTCCTAGGAAAACAAACAAATTAGTCGTGGGACGGGTGAAGCTCCGTTTTTTATACTTTGGACATGTTGCAAGGCGGGATCAGTCCTTAGAGAGGGACGTCATGCTTGGGAGGGTGGAGGGTCAGAGCAGGAGAGGAAGACCTTCGATGTGATGGATTGACTCAATGACTGGGGCAATTGGGATAGGCATGTCGGAAACAGTAAGATTGGCAAGGCATAGAGCAGGGTTTAGGGCTGTTTACATAGGGTCGCTATGAGTCACAGGAGATGCGATGGCACCTAACAACAACTTGAATATATAATAGCTGAAAGCAGGGAGTACCAGAGGATTGTCTATGTTTCATTGGCTATGCAAAGCCATTTGACTGTGTAGATCATAACACACTGTGGCTAACTCTAAGAATGGGAATCACAGAACATTTGATTGTGCTTATGCTAAACCTATACTTGGGCCAGGAGGCCGTCGTCAGAAGAGAGAAATTAAACACTGCATGGTTCAAAATAGGGAAAGGTATACACCAAGGATGAGTTCTAACTCCATACATTTTTAATCTATATGCAGAACAGATTAGCCAGCAGGCTTGGCTCTATGAGAAGAAATGTGGCATCAGTATTGAAGGAAGATTTATCAACAATCTACATTATGCAGATGACACAATTCTGCTTTCTGAAACTGAGGAGGTCCTGAAGCACTTTCTGCAGGTCAAGTACTGCCTTCAATATGGATTGAAGATCAACATTAAGAAAACAAAGATCCTCCCCACTGGGCCAATTGGTAGCAAAATGATAGATGGTGAAGAGGTTGAGATTTTTAACAGCTTTAGTTTGCTTATCTCCACAATGAACACTGGGTACCAGCAGCCAGAAAATTTAAAAAGACAAATTGCTTTGGGAAAGTTTGCTGACAGAGACCTCTCCAAAGTACTGAAGAGCAACTATGTCAGTCTGGAGACTAAAGTGCACCTGATACAGTCCATAGTCTTTGCAATTACTTGCTATGCATCAGAAAGCTGGGCAATGACTAGGGATGATAGGAGACTTGATCCCTTTGAGCTGTGGTGCTGGAGAAGTGTACTGAATATAGTATGGACTGCAAGAACAAACGGATTCATCCGGGAGAAGATGAGCCCAGGCTGCTCCTTGGAGGCAAGGATTCTGAGGCTTTGTCAGACATACTTTAGACATGTTGCAAGAAGGGACCAGTCCTTGGAGAAGGACATCATGTGTGGGAGAGTGGAGAGACAGCACGAGAGAGGAAGACCATTGATGAGATGAATACAGTGACTGCGGTAGTGTGGGTAGGTGTTGCAGATGACTCAACAACATATAACATGAAAGGAAATTAAATGTAAAATATAAGCTATAAAACGTTGAAGGGGTAAATCATAAATAACCAATAAAGACATCATTATTTAGAATAATGTATTTCCATAAAGAAAATGTTTCTCTGCTCCAACAGTCACTGCCCTTGAATGGCCTGGCCTGTGGGCTAGTTAGTACAACTTCTTATGGACCAGACCACCAGAGCTGCTCTCCATGCATTCACCCCCTCACTCATTGCTGTGGACTGGAAATCAAGACCTCTGATGGGTTTTCAGAGATCTTACATCTCACAGGAGTGTTCAGTGCTCTTTTCCAGCACTGCAGCAAAAGAAAAGTAAGTATCACAGGAGATTGCCCATCTTTCTCCTAAACAGTAGCTAGAGGATTCGAACCTCCCACCTTTGTGTTGGCAGCACAACTCCCTAGTCACTGTTAGGTGACATCAAGTCAACTGTCTCATAGCGAGCCCATGAATAACAGATCTGAAACCTGTCCTATACTGCACCATCCTAATCTCTGTTCTGCTCCAGTCCATTATTAAAGTCCCCATGTCACTCTATCTCATTGACAGTCTTCCTCTCGTTCTCAGGACCTCCACCCTTTCCCAGCATGATCTTTTTCTAAGGACTGGTCCCACCTGACATGCCCAAAGCATGTGAGACATCGTTTCACCACTCTTGTCTCTAAGGAGCTCTCTAGCTGAACTACCACCAAGACTGACTGACTTGTTCTTTTGGCAATCCACAGTATATCAATACTCTTCTTGAACACTGAAGTTCAAAGACATCCATTCATCTTTTTGTCTTCTTGATGCTGTGATGAAATACATATTAAAGGTGATCTTCTAATAAGTGCTTCAAGTCCTCCTCACTTTCTGCATGTCACTTGCATAATACAGGTTGTTGATGCTATCAAGTTGTCTGGGACCCAGTGTGGCTCTATGTACAATAGCTCTGAACTTTGGCCTTTCCTGAGCTAGTCCCACTGACTCCAAACACACCTACCCCTATTACACCAGCCACTGGGTCAATCCATCTCATCCAGGGTCTTCCTCTCCTGTGTTCTCTCTCAACCCTGCCAAGCGTAATGTTCTTCTCCAGGGATTGGTCCCTCCTGGCCACATGCCCAAGTATGTAAGATGCAGCTTCAAAATTCTTGCCTCCAAAGAGAAATTTGGTTTCACTCTCTCCAGGACAGACCTGTTTGTTGTCTTGGAAGTCCATAATATATTCGGCACTCTTCTCTATCAACACAACTCAAAGAACCAATTCTTATATCATCCTTAGTCATTGTTCAGCTGATGTATATCAACTAATTACAAAGACAATGGCTGGATCAGAAGTACCTTAGTTTCTAGACTGAGATCTTTGCTCTTTAACACTTTGGAGGTGTCTGACAGCACACTTCCCCAGTGCAATTTGTCTTTTGATTTCCTGACAGCTGATGCCAAGAGTGTTAACTGTGAAGCCAAGCAACTTCAACCTCTTCATCTATCGTGGTGTTGTCAAATGGTCCAATGGTGGACCAATCTGTCTTTTTTATCTTGAGTTTCAAACCTTACTGTCTTCTTGAGCTACCATTTGAAGTCTTCTGTTCAGCCCGACTTCGTCATTGCTCTCATTCATTTTAGATCCTCTACTTTGAAGAGCAAGCATTCAAAATAAGGCCAAGGACTCAGTGAGGAACCAGCTCACTTAATTATTTGCAAGAGCAAATGAAAACAAGTTCAGAGCTAGAATATGATGTGTTAACTCTCTTGAATTTAAAAAGCCATCTCAAAGGACTATTTTTGACACACTGAACACTAATAACCCAAGACCAGACAAGTTGTGGGATGGTATCAAGGGTCTCATTCATGAAGAGAACAAAAAGGTCATTACAAAGTCAGTCAAGAAAAAAAGACAAAAATGGATGTCAGAAGAGATTCTGAATGAAAGTAAAGCAAATATCTATGCATATATTTGGGGAAGATTAATAACTTACTTATCAATGTGCAAAGGAACACACAAGTGAAAAGGCCTTGAAATGTGCATGGGCCCAGGGCTTGAAAGACAGCATTACAACCAGAATGAACGAAAAAGAGAACTGTTTTCCTGTTTGCCATACACCACCTCTAAAAAATTCCGATACTCAACACATGGGTCGACACACTTTTATTACCAGGACTCAAGTTTATCAAAAACAAACAACAAAACCCCAAGCCCTCTGGATCATCATGGCTTCTGTTTTTTGTGCTTCAGAGGTCGTCTACTTTTCTTCTGTCCTTTCTTCTTCTTTTTAGTGAGAACTGCCTTTTCTCCAATAAATACACTTTTAGAATGTCCTTCCACATGTTTTGTGGCAAAAGTAAGTCCCTGCTTTGGTTTGCTGGTGTTCTTCAAGGTGGGCTTTGAGTTTTGTTTTTTCAGTTTTTCTTTACTAACAGAATGCATAACTCTGAGTTTTCTTCCCATCAGCTCAGAATTATTTAATTTTAGAGCAAGGTGAACGGCATCTGTATTCTAAAACAAAAAAAAAAGAATACATTATTCTTCAACAGAAGCACATCTATGGAGAAAACAAAGTATACTGATGAATAAAGAATATATAGGCCTCATACTACGCAGCACTCAGGAGCAATGATTTTGAAAAATACTATGTAACTTCGGAGAGATTAAGAGCATTATGCTGAGAGAACTAAAGACTCATTAGGATGAATACTGCCTAAGAACATAGTAAAAATAGAAGAATAACAAGTAAAAAATGTAAGGAGTACATGGTTTGAATGCACCAGATGCTCCATGCGAGGAGGAGAGGCAATCTCCTGTGCCAATCATATCTGACTCAAAAGTACACAAGAGGAAAAAAAATTATGGAGGTCCAAGGAGGGAAGAAGATGGGAGCAGAAGGATAAGGACGGGAAGGGAGGGAATCACAGGGCTGCACATTTGGTTTGAGTGGAGGGAAGTAAATGATATGGGAAAGATCTTGCAGGGACCTGAAAAGATATGTTAATGGTGGGCACAGTCCAATGGTGATTAATTTTATAAAACAAAATGCTTTGGAATGATTGTATAAAATGTAATGTCAATGAAACAAAATGTGAAACATGCACACACAAAATCCCCACTATGTATACGAATGAAACACAATGTATACACATACCAAAAAAAATACAGAGGTGGAGAAAAAAGAACTCTGTTCCATTTACAGAAGGTGAAGCTGAAATTCAGCAATGTTGTACCTGCCACATCCAATATCCAGATCACATCACAACATTCTCAGGAACAGAGCGTGGACTAGAAAACCTGTGGGCTGAGCACCTGTAGGTCCCAGCAACCCATACCCCACAAAGGGCATTTAGAACTTAATTTTCTTCAGATATAATTTAAGAGTAAAAAGGCCATTAGTGGTTATCTCTGAATAGCTGCAATAGTCAACAACCAGCCATTCCCTGTACTCCCTCTTCTCAGGGCAGTGGTAATGGAGGAGGCTACCATACCTCAAAGAGAACATAGCCGAAGCCTTTGCCCATACCAGTCACCTGGTCCCGTATGATTCTCACAGCCACGATACCGCCGCAGTCCAGGAAGTGCTCCTCCACAGTGGACTCATCGATCTCTACAGTCAAATCCAGTCAGAACAGGAGATAAGCAGCCGGCTCTCCGTAGAAAGCTGGACATTTTTTATAATGAAGCTATTTACACACAAAATAACACCACCAAACTCAACCATCGAGTCAAGGCTGACCCCAAGCAATGCTGTAGAATGCACCAGGGAAACCTATTTATATTTAATCTACATGCTTTTTTAGTCTCAGAGCATAATAGTCTACTAGATACATTTTCATTTTCCTCATTATTTAATAAAAAGGTATTTTAGTTATTTAAACAAACTTACTGTAAGGGAGATTTCCCACAAACACTGATCGCTTGTCCCTCTGGAACACAAAGAGAGTGAAGGAAATTACCCTCAGCCAAGCACAAGCCATCTGAAAACCCTCTCTTCCCTTCACACCCCACACCAGCTCGACTCTGAGGGTGTGTCACCAGATGGAGGTGGCATGGACCCAGGGTGGTGTTCAAGAGCTCCATGCTCCATCCACATTGGCAAGCCTCCTGTGTGGATGAGCACAGAGCACAGGTAGTTCTGCGGGGCCTGTGGATTCTGCCTTTACTACCCAACTCTGCCATTTCAGCAGGGAAGCAGCCATCATCAAAGACTGAGTGTCTACATTACAATACAATTTTATCAACTAAAGGATGGTGGGGACAACAGTCCCTGGTTTGTTGACCCCTGGGTGATACACCCATTATAAGCCAGTGCTGTCATTCAGGCTCTTTGACAACAACTGAACCAAACTGGTTCTGGGGGGAACAACATCCTTCACTTTCTGAGAGACTTCTGCAAATTCAAGTCTTTCACTTGCCTGTTTAAAATATAAAAACTGCTTCAGGACAAAATCCAGACCGCTCAGCAAGGCAGCAAGGTACTTCCCGACTTGGCCTCTTCCTTCCCGCCTGACACTGCCAACTGTCCTGTCAAGTGCCTGCCACTCCCTGGGGAAACTGGACTTGCCCATCATTCACATGCACTCTTGTCCAGATAACCCCTCCTCCTTCCTGTCTTTATTAGGAGGTGGAAGCAGGCCAGCACAGGTGAAGATGGTTTCAATAATGCTTACTCATCTTCCAAAACAGATTTATCTAACAGATTTAAGAGCTATTCTCCTAGACCTTTAGACCTCTTCCTTGACCCTGCCAGCCTGCACCTTACATGGCCCTTTTTCCGCAGGCAGCATGCTGTGCCTCTAACTTACACGTTTACCATAAAAGGGTGCAATGCCCTATTCAGCTCTTTCTCTCCCCCTGCACACCTCGGGGGCCGGAAAAGGATCTTAACACTGCATGCCAGAACCAGAGGACTACAGGACTGTCTGCTGAGTGATTTCACTTCACCACCCTCAGAGCAGCCAAGCCAGATCACCTAGCTCAGCAGTGGATGTGGCGGTGGCGGTGGCATCTGAGACCACACTGGAGAAGCCAAGGGTTACCAAGAGGCTGATATGTAAGTGCCAGCTCCAAAGGTGGTTTCTTCTATGCTGTCCGCCATGCTCCACCTACCAATCTACTCTCCTTATAGCAAAAGCAAACATTCTGCCCTACAAGGCCATAGCTAGGGTACCAAAAAAAAAACCCCACAAAAAAACACCAAACCCAAAAAACTACTTACAGAGGAGGTCTCAGACGCGAGATCAACTCTGATACGGAAGCCATCTGCGATCTGGGTCCCATTTCTAGAAAATCCAGGGAATACGGTATTAAAGATGGGCACTGAGTTACCACCAGACAGATGCTACAGTCAAGGCCAAGTGTCAGCGAGCACTCCCATGCCTAAATGCCGTTCTGACTGGCCTTAAAGGGAAAACTTACCCTTTCAACGCCTTCCGGGCAGCACTCTCATCCTTAAACACAACATAAGCATTAATATTTTTCTGATCAGGATGAATTTTACGCCTATACCAAAGAAAACAAAATAAAATTTGTTAGCATCAAAGTCACTAAAATAAACAATCCACACACTTAAGAAATAATGGGGTAGATGAATTTCTTTGAATATCTAACAAGACAAAAAACAGCAGAGGAAACCCAACCCTTCTTACAATTCACCCATGTGTGAGGTAGGGTAGCCCTTCAATCCTGAGAAATGAAAGACAAATGATAATCTGAGCTGCCACTCTGTACAAGGCACACACTGAGGGGAAAGGAAACTAGAATTCCCCCTACCACCGCAAAACAATCATACTCAGACGCACAACTATGAAAGCTCAAGATGTTACTGTGTGCCGTCGAGCCAAAAGGTTTTCAGAGGCTGGAAACTGCCCGGGAGGAGACTGCTCATCATTCTTCCACAGAGCACCGGTTGGATTTGAACCACCTACCTCTGGGAAAGCAGCACAGCTTCTTACCATTTAGAGCTCCCTCAAGTTCTCTAGTTAACGAATACAGAAGTGTATTTGTCTATGTCACATGGAAGGTTTAATAAACAGCAGGTTATCATTTCTATAAAAGCATCTACCCTTTCTATCTGCTGAGGAACAAGGCAGGGCACCAAGAGTATAAAGTTCTTCCTGCCTATCTGCCTTTCACTGCAGACTGCCTCCCACAATGTAAGTATACAGATGAAACCTCAAAACTGCCCAAGCTTAAGGATCTGGACTGTTGCAATGGATGTGGAAAATAAAGACGTGAGAATTATCCCTCAGTCCACACTCCACTGCCAGGCTCCTGCCTGTGTGTCTACGTGATTTCATCACCCCAGTGAATACTCCCAGGTGGCCCTGCTGGCTCCATGCATTAAGCATTACAATGATAACCAAAAGGTCAGGAGTTTGAAATGTGCCAGCTACTCAGTGCAAAAAATATGGACAGTCTTGTCCTGTAAAGATTTATAGCCATGGAGACCCAAACAGGGGGTCACTGTGATTGGAACCAACCAGACAGCCATGGGAAAGGGCTATATTCTTGTTTAATTCCATCTCCTCTTTGTCTTGCAGCCTAAGAGTAAGGAAGTTGAAATCCATTAGCTGCTCTGCAGGAGAAAGATGGGCAATCTCCTCCCGTGTGACTTACTGCCCCTAAAAGCCCAATGGAGGGTCAACTATGAGTTGATTCCAACTTGACAGCAATGACTTTTATCTAATACGAAGATACTACCAACTGTTTCACATTAACAAAGAAAAAGCATTCAAGATTCAGGACAAATGGGACACCCTGCATGAAGACGACAGTAAATGAGAAAGGACTACACTATGCAAGAAAGGAGAGCAAGGAAGCTTGTACCCCTGGCACCGGGAAGAAAAAGGTGGAGAGTAAGCTCTGAGAAGCTGAACGTTAGTACTGTCAGATAAACCCAAAGGGAGAGTTTACAAGTTCTCGGGCTGGTGGTACGTCCAGGGGGCTGGGGAAGCAAACAGAACTCCCTGCTAAGTCATCCCGACAGCAGGCCGAGTCAGCAGCACCTTACGAGGCTTCAGGAGCTCCAGGGAGCATTGTGACTTCAGACAAGAGAAGACGTGGGAAGATGTGTGACTCACAAGTGATGAGATATGGTCTATTCTATTTCTATTTAGACATGAAAGTTATTCTCTTCCAAACCACAAATATTAAGCAGCATGCCTGACATTTCATAGGGCACGTTTTCTAGGAAATTACTCTACATAACATTTTGTGACTCTAGAATTTATAACTTACATACCATTACAGCCATACACACAGAAACAATAAAGAAATTTATCTGACTTAAAAAAAATCTTTACAAAGCTGCTAAGAAACGATCTTGGTTTTAAATTGAAATGGAAGATTAACTTTCTCAAATAAACTTACTTTATTGCTGCCAACTTTTTAGATAATGTTCCTTCTGCTGGAATCTTTTAGAAGAAAGGAGAAAAAACCCATTAACAGCAATTTGAAATATTACACCAAATGGATCACATCATAACTAAAGCTTAACTATTTAACTCTTATGACTGAAAACATCCTAGGGATATTATAATGCAAGAAACAGCTGTCCTGTGTTCTGTGAGTGGGATCTATGGCTCAGGATAAACATCTCCATTGACAGTGTCACGTGCAGACACAAGAGGCAGCAAGTGAGTGTGAAATAACGTCAGTGGAAGCAAAGCTAACATGCTTTCAGCCAGTGTTAGATGTCCCAAAGGGACACTGGGTTACGGCAACACACGGACATCACCTGAAAATGAGTGAAATGCCTTTATAAAATGATATGGGGAAAAGATAATATTCCCAAGTTTAGAAATACTTTATCAAATAATCAATGTGATTTTAAAATACATAGAGCCAAATATATAGGAAGCTCTAGTGGTTGAATGGTACGGAATTGCACTGCTAACCTAAAGGAACACAGTTCAAATCCACCAGCTGCTCTGAGTGAGAAAGATGGGCAATCTCCTCCTGTGTGATTTACAGCCTCGGCAAACCCCCTGGAGGGTCAGCTGTGGGTCTACTCCAACTCAACAGTATACAACAATAACTATATACTATAAATAAGATGTAGGCCTTCATTCCTTAGGAGTAATAAAATGTGTTAAAACTATATAATTGCATGGAACTATGAGTGCACCTAAGTGTTAAAAAGACTACAATGGTCAGTTTCATGTCAAGTGAAGTTTACCTCAACTTACAAAATGAAAAGACATAGCGTACAGTCCTAGGAACTGCATGAATAGAAACCTCATTTAAAGGCAGTTCTTCTAAATCCCCTGGAAAATTTACTTTCTGTGTTAGTCCTCTAATACTTTGCTTATCCTGTTCAAATTCCTAACACATGGTCAGATTTTTGAAACATAGGAAAAGAAAAAGCATTAAGACAGGACAAACTACAAGAATAAAAAAACAGGGGAGGGGTGGGCAGGGAGAAAAGTGCAACAATGAATGAATGGAAATCCAAAATCTCTGTAAATGTTCATTAAAATTAATAAAATAAAATTTTAAAAAAAGAAAAATATTATGGGTGCTTATTGTGTCCTTTCAAAGATTAAAGATACTAATGAGTAAGCGTAGCACTAAAGGAATTTGGATGGAAAGCAATATGACTTAACAGTGTAAAACAGGAGCTGTGGTAGTATACTGAGCACTAACAGAAAGGTCAGCAATGCAAATCTACCAGCCCCTCAGAGGGAGAAAAGATGGGTGATTCTTCTAGTGAAGATTGACAGCCTCAGAACCGAGTAGACTAGTAAGGGTAGGAGTTGGAGGGGTGTCACTCTGACTTAGAACCAATGAGATGGCAGTGGGTGGGGTGATAGGAAGTTATCCGAAGGCTTTAAGATTAAAATCATTTGAATATGAATAGCATGCAGTACCATGATAAGCAAAGTAGGCCTTTCCAAAGGATTCTGGGAGAAGCAAGTGAACTGGGCAGGATGGAAGCTGCAGGACTGTGGATCTGCTGAGGAGGCACCAGGCCTGAGTGCCTGTTCCTCACTAACAGTGAGGAACACATCAATGTTCTCATGTCACTAACACTTACTGAACCACTAAAGGTGTGAGGGTCCCAGATGAGCAAGGCAGACAGGGTGTCTGCGATCACAGCTTACAGCAGGGCGAGGCAGCATCACCACCAACCAGCACAGCAGAGTGAATGACAGAGAGCACTGCAACAGGCAAAGTCAGCACAGAAGGGAATGCAGGGACAGGAAGAGCAGGGCAGCAGGTGGGGTTGCCACACACAGGGTGTCAGGGACAGGAAGAGCAGGCAGCCTTCCCAGGAAGAGAGCAGCCAGCGCTCCTAAGCGTGCATGCACATGGGACACAGTACCTGGGGGAGGAGGCCAAAGGCTGCTACAGGAGGGAGGCTGATGCAGGGATGGCATGGAGCAGCAGGAACTGAAGTGACTGCAGTGATGACCACTGCAACAACACTGGACAGAGATGATGAGAACCCGAGGAGGAATGTGAAAGGGAGGGATGCTCGTCAGGGAGGGAGTGCAGCCAGGACAGCATCAAGGAGAGTAGGGAAGAGAAGCTGGGCCAGAAAGGAGCCTCTGGCCACTGGAGCGTGAGGATGCTGCTACTGCCGGAGGAGGGCTGAGCAGAGCAGCATGGCATAGAGCAACGTGGAGAGTAAGGGCAGCAAGGCTGGGCACGAACGAGATGAAATGGAGATGTGGATGGACATCCAAGTGAACAGGGTCGGGGAAGAGTATGAATGTGGACTTGGGGCTAGAAAACAGACAAGACACAGGCATGTGAGAAACGTGGACAGCAAACACCATGAAGGAGCGATGGGGACTATCTCCTTTCACTACAGGGGGAAATTCTGTGAAGCTAGATCTAGGTCACCACTTGGGGAGGATTAGAGTCCTGCTGACACCTAGAGGACAGGGGTCGGGGTCCTGATGAACACCCTACAGCATGCAGGATGGCACCCCCAAGAAAAGACCTGCCCAGGCTGAGATGGCAACAATGTCAAGACTCACATGAGAGACATCAGAGACACCACGTACCCATTCCGTACACGCCCAGAAACATGGATTGCATTTAGCACCTGGCGCTCGAGAACACAAGCTACAGGACAGAGGCGAGGTGCACAGCTCTCAGTGAAGGTGGGCGGTTCAAACTCACTAGCTGCTCCACAGAGCAAAGAGGTGGCAGTCAGGTTCTGCTGAGACTACAGCCTTGACAATCCTGTGGGGCAGTTCTCCTCTGCCCTGAAGTGTCTCTGTGACTCAGAACCACCTAAGGGCCATGATTTGGATTCTTGGAGCTCTAAGTCAATCAGAGTCTAAAAAAGCATGTAGGAGAAAATAACGTAAAGATGCTTGTTTCTCTCTCCACTGAAGACTGTAACTAGCCTACGGAATTTGTAACGGATGAAATAAAATACATATTTCTGTAAAAATTTAATATTGATTTTAAAAGGGATATCAGTGTTTATGTCAGAATTGTTGGCAGCCAACGACATAAACTTAGGATAATGGACTGACAACTCACAGAATGGGAAGATTGGCTAGAAACAGAACACGGTGGAATGCAGGACTCTAGAAACATTAGTAAGTCTGCCTTCTCTGCCTAATGAACTGACACAGCAAATACAAAAATCACCCGCCCACCCTCAAAGGACACTGTTTATTTCCCCAAAGGAGGTGCAATTCTGTAGCTCCATGAAATTGCTTAAGAAAACTTAAGAGTCAACAAGAGACACAAGCTCTAGACTTGCATCTACTCCTACTGATACCAACAACCCTGCTGGTGATTGGATTTAAATGCAGGCGCTTCAAAGGCGGGGAGGGGTCACGTACCAGAGAACGGAACCGCACGGACTCTATCTGTCCATACTCTTTGAAAAAAGATTTCAGCTTCTGGGGGGGAAAAAGTATTTTGTTATTAGTCAGTGATATAGAAACAAATTCAATAAAATTACTTGTTTCCCCCACCTCTTTAAATGGCTGCTTCCATACATCTGTCTTCCTTTTGAGTCAAAGTTTACAAAGCCTACTGGTTTACATCTGATTATTCACATGCATTTTCTTTTATAATTTTAACTGATAAATGTAATTAATTCACAATGTCTGATCAACCCCTTATTTATGGTCACCCTTTCTGGTTACTCAACTTATCTACTGACTCATTTTTACTACTCTTATTTCTCATTCCCTCTGGTAACCATCCAGAGCAGTTCTCTCTGTGTGCAAATCTTTCCTAAGCTTTTTATACAGTGGTATTAGACCATAACTGTCCTTTTGTGATTGAGTTATGTCACTCAACATAATTTCCTCTGACTTTATATATACTGTGCAGTGTTTCACAAATTCTTTGCCATTCTTTAGTGTTGAAAAATATTCCACAGTGTGAATGTACAAGTTTCATTAAGCCATTTGTTGACTGATGGACATACAATTGTTTCCATATATTTGTTTCTTTCCCAGCCCTTATTTCCTGGGATATATATAGGTAACAGTGGAACTGTTGGATATATATAGGTAACAGTATGTTGTGTTTGTATTCTTGAATTTCTAAGGGAGTGTGTCTTATGTTTCCACCTGCTTGTTTTACTGAAGAGTTTTCTCTTAAAAACATTATAAAAATTAATAAACATCCTCTGCACATCCAAAAACTTCTCCAACAGGGTAAAAAGGGAAGACATAGATTGGGGAAAAGTATTTGGTAATGACATGTCAGATAAGAGACTTAGATCTAGAATTTATAAAATACTTGAGCACCACAACAAGATAAAGGTAAATAATCCAATTGAAAAATGGGCAGAGGATATGAACAGACACTTCACCAAAGAAGATATCCAGATGGCTAACAAGCACATGAAGAAATGTTCAAAATCCCTAGCTCTAAGAGAGATGAAAATAAAAATACTATGAGATATCATCTCACTCCAGTAAGAATAGCAAAATTTAACAGAACAGCAAGCAACAGACGCTGGTGAGGTTGTGGAGAAACTGGAACCCTTATTCACTGTTGGGGGAATGTAAAATGGTGCAGCCAATGCGGAAGGCAGTGTGGCACTTTCTCAAAAAGTTGCAAATACAGATACCATTTGACCCAGCAATTCCACTACTGGAAATATACCCCAAAGAGACCATAACTGACATCCAAGCAGATATATGCACACCCAGGTTTATTGAGGCTTTGTTCACAATAGCAAGGAGTTGGAAAACAACCTAAGTGCCCATCAACAAACGAATGGATAGAGAAGCTGTGGTATATTCACACAATGTAATACTATGCTACACTGAAAAACAAGGAACTCATGCAATATTATTCAAAATGGGTGTCCCTGAAGGACATTATGCTGAGTGAAATATCTCAGTCACAAAGGGACAAATCCTGCATAGTGCTGCTGTTGTAAAACAGGACTGACATCGGGGTTGGGGGAAGACTGAGAAAGATGGGTTCAATAATGTATACTGCATTGAAACAGACAAGGGAGAGAACTGTTTAAAAGGAATATATGATTAGGTATTACTGTCATAACAGGAGTCCAGAATAAAGGCTGCATAGTGGGGTGGAGGGACTATGTAACAATGTGTGTACTGTCAAACTGGATCTGACTGGTACAGGAGGTGATTACTCCTCCTTCTTCAGCAGAGCATCTGGTGGATTTGAACTGTGCACCTCTGGGATTGCAGGGAAGCTTTTCTGCCAGTAGGCCACCAGAGCTCACCTTTTTCCTTTTCAAAGACAAGAGTGTCCAGGGGGCGAGAGGCAGGTGAAAAGTGCAACAATGAAGGAATGGAAAGCCAAAATATCTAAATTTTCATTAAAATTAATAATAAAAAATAATAAACAATAAAGTTGGATAGACAAAAATATTTACTGAAACATACACAAACAGAAAGCACAATTCAAGTTCACACTGATATCCATTTGAGTACACAACACTTCTGTCTTCCAATCTTGGAGCACAGTCCATAGTTGCATTCCTAACCTAAACACGGCACGTCTTTGGTGGTGCAAATTCACTAGAAGCTCTCAGGGAGAAAGGTGAGCAGTATGTTCACATAAAGATTTTGCACCTCGGAAACCCATTGCTGGACAGGGTGCGTAGAAGGACACTTCACCAAAGACACTTAGACAGCCAACAAATACCTGCAAACACACTCAATTCACTAGCTATTCCTTTGTCTGTCATCAAGTCAGAACTTACTAGCAGCCAGCGATCCAGAGAATTTCCAAGCCTATGCAGCACAGGAGAGGAGATTACCCATCTTTCTCCCTTGAAGTCAATGGTGTATTCAAGGGGCATGGGCTTTGGGTTGGAGGTGCAACTCTCTATGGATCTTGCCACTACAGCTCCCTCATTACTTATTAAAGCAATTCAAATAATAAAAAATAAGTAAATAAATAAAAATAACATGCCCTTTCACCCTAAGACCATGACAATGACCAAAATGCAATAGAAAAGAAAACAACCAAATGCTGGCAAGGGTATGGCGAGATTAAAACTTTCACATATTGCTGGTGGGCCTGTAAAATGGTACAACCACTGTGGAAAAGAGTTTGGGGTCTCTTTACAAAGTCAGAAATAGCATTTCATCTGACCATTCCACTACTAAATGTATTACATAAACAGGTAAGAGCTAAGACACAAACAGATACATGGATATCCATGTTCTTTGCAGTATTATTCATAATAAGAGACATAACAACTCAAGCATCCATCAACAAATGAATCAATTAAATGGCATATACACACAATGGAATACCACATAACACTGAAGAATCATGATGAAAAGAGATCAACTAAAAAAAAAATCCAATTCCTTCAAAATACTTAAGCTTCTTTTTAAAAATCAGAAGCAGTATTTTAAATCATTATTATTTAATAGATTCTCTCAGTAAGGGGACAGTAATGATAATAATTTCTTTTATTCTCACATATATGAAACGTGGCATGAATCACCTGAAGTCTATGTTAAAAAATACTATCAGTCTGCCTCAAATCCAGTTTAAATTGCTATTTCTGGTGGTGGTTTTGTGCTGGTGAGTTACCTGTGACCCATAGGAATCCTATATACAATAGTTCTGAACCCTGCCCTGTCCTGAGCCAGTCCCTAATTCAAACACACCAACCCCCATTTTGTAGGGCCTCATAGTCCCCAAACAGAATTCCTTCCTGAAGTTTCTGAGGAAATACATTTTCCTAATCCTGGAAAAAAATTAGTAAAATAGAAAGTTTCATGGAAATCTCAGTTAACTGCCCCAATAACATGGGTACCATTCTATTTTGTTACCTAGTGTTGCATAGGCCCTGTGATTATAAATATTGGTAAAATGCCATCCCAGTTATAATGATTAGTATTTACTGGCCTGGAGCAACAGAGGGGGGAATCAGGAATTGTTAGGTGCCCGTCAGTCAGCTGACTCATAGCAACCTTGAGACAAGAGACTGACACACAGTGTTTGTAAAACCATCCTCACATTGTTGCAATCACTGTCCATTCACCTCACTGATGGTCTTTCTCCCACTTTTCACTATCTATCTTGCAAAGCATTGTATCTTTTCCCAATGGCTGACAGCATGCCCAAAATGTGGTAGACAAAGTTTTGACCATCCTTGCCTCTATGAGCTCCCTGGTTTCACTTCTTCCAAGACAGATTTGTTGGTTCTTTTAGTAGTCTATGGGATATTCAATATTCACCACAGGTACCACAGTTCAAAGACATCAGCTCTTTGATGTCCCTTATTCATTGCTCAAGTTAATATGTGTAAAATCAATAGAAAATGCCTTGGCTTGTCAAGTGTATCTCAGTTCCCAAAGTGCCATCCTTGTTGTCAGTACTTAAGACTGAGTAAGTATGATGAAAGGATACAACGTAACACATATCTTTCCTAATTTTAAACACTGTTTTGTTCAAACGACTGCTTCTGGTGTTTGTACTGGTTCTTCAGAAACACAATTAAGCGTTCTGGAATTCCCATCTTTCTCAAAATGATGTACATTAAAAAAAAAATCACACTGTCAGATATCTTTACATCGTCAATGAACACAAGTAAACACAAAAAACAACCCAAACGATGAATTCACAAACCATGAATAACATGAATACATCTACAGCACACTATGCAGAATGAACAGGTCTGTCTAAGAAAGACCACTATTTTAAGAGTACAACATTCCAAAAAGCTGAAAAAAGGTTTGCATGCAAAAAGCAGCATTCGTTTATGTTTAACCAGAATAAGGAGAGAGAGAGGAGAAAAAGTCAGTGACTAGGTAACTGATACCAATTAGGGTAGGTGATGATAAGGTAACAAAGTCTAAGGGATGAGCAGCACAGGATCACTGGGGCAAAGAAGTCATGGAGAGGTGCAGAGAAATAAATACTAACAAAAGTAAATGCAATTACACACACAACACTGTGATAATTAACACTCACCTACAAGCACATATACAGCCAGACAGGCAAGATGAACAAACAAGAATGGGTCAAAGAAACAGTATTTGTGGCCACACACAGGTCTGACAAATGACAGTTCTCCTTTCACTTATCTTAATACACACACACATATATTAGATGGGTCTGGTGATTTAGTATTAAGAATCTGCACTGCAATCCCAAAGGTATGCAGTTCAAATCCACCAGCTCCTCCAGGAGACGGATGGTCAATCTCTTCCCGCACGATTACCTGCCTCTGAAAAATCTGCTGGGGGATCAGTTGTGGGTCAGTTCTGTCTGAACAGACACAACAACAATCACCCCCACCACTAAGGAAGAACTGACTCACAAGTGTCCCTCCAGTGGTTTTCACAGGCAGCAATCCCATGGAAGGAGACTGCCATCTTTCTTCCATGGAGCAGATAGTGGATTCTAACCTCATGTCTTTGGGCTGGTAGTGCAACTCCTTATTATTAAGTCAACAGAGCTCTCTGGCAGAACAATAGAATGAAAAAACCAAGACCAGCACTGCAGATTCCAACTCAGAGCCACCTCCATCAGTGTTTCTGAAACTGTAAACGTTCATGGAAGGAGGCTTCCCACCTTTTTTCTGTGGATCTACTGTTGTTTGTTGTTGTATGTGCCATCAAGTCGCTTGCGACTCATAGCGACCCTATGTACAACAGCCCTAAACTCCGCTCTGTCCTGTGCCAATCGCACTGTCTCTGACACTCCCATCCCAATTATCCCAGTCACTGAATCAATCCACCTCAAAGAGGGCCTTCCTCTCCTGCGCTGTCCCTCCACCCTCCCAAGAATGATGTCCCTCTCCAAGGACCGGTCTCTCCTCACAACATGTCCAAAGTATGTTAGATGGAGCATCAGAATCCTTGCCTCCAAGGAGCCACCCGGTTTAAACCTTTCCAGGACAAATCTGTTTGTTTTCCTAGCCGTCCATGGTATTCTCAATATTCTTCTCCAGCACCACAGCTCAAAGGCATCAATTCTCCTTCTATCCTCCTTGGTCATTGTCCAACTCTCTGATGCATAACAGGTGACTGCGAAGACCATAGCCTGTATCAGATGCACCTTAGTCTCCAGAGAGACACCATTGCTCTTCAGTACTTTGGAGAGGTCCCTAACAGCAGACTTTCTCATGGCAATGCGCCTTTTAATTTCCTGGCTGCTGGTGCCAAGACCGTTGACTACAGAGCCAAGCAAACTAAAGCTGTGTACAATCTCAATCTCTTCACCATCCATCCTGATGCTGCCAATTGGTCCAGTGGTGAGAATCTTTGTCTTCTTGACATTGAGCCTCAATCCATATTGTAGGCTGCAGTCCTTGACACTCTGCAGCAGGCGCTTCAGGTCCTCTTCAGTTTCAGCAAGCAGGGTTGTGTCATCCACATAACGCAGGTTGTTGATAAATCGTCCACCAATCTTGACCCCACATTTCTCCTCATAGAGCCCAGCCTCCCGGATAATCTGTTCTGCATATAGGTTGAAAAGGTATGGAGATAGGATACATCCCTGGCGTACGCCCTTCCCAATTTTGAACCATGCAGTGTTCCCTTGCTCTGTTCTGACGACTGCCTTCTGGTCCAAGTATAAGTTTCACATTAGAACGATCAAGTGTTCTGGGATTCCCATTCTTCTCAGAGTCAGCCATAGTTTATTATGATCTACACAGTCAAATGCCTTTGCATAGTCAATGATTCAAATTACCAACTTTCTGTGGCTTAGAAGCATAATATGTAACACATTATCCCACCCACACGTGTACACTAAGTGTACATACACATCAAGCATAGCCATGAGGGCAGTTATGTCAACACCTTGTTATCATCCAACACCCTGAAGGAAATTGTGTGTGCTGATCCCAAGGGACATCAAAGTCAAGTGGCTTAACACAGTCCACAATGAGAATGTTCTCCAGCTTGCTCTGCTATGTAGCATCTTAGGTCTTACAAGCTTTCAAAAAGTCATCTAAGCCACAGCTATTGGTCTTCCTGTTTAGAACAAAGAATGAAAAAAAGCTAAAAAACAATTAGTCCAAAGGCCTGACAGCCAGGCAAATGTCCAGCTCCTCCACCCTGTGACCAGGAGATCCAGATGCCACTGCTGATGACCACTCTAAAGAGCAGCACAATACAGTCCTGGATAGAGGGGGTGAAACACATGGACTAAAACCAAAAACAGAAAAGTGGCCAACTGACTGGCTTGACAGACTAGCGGTACCTGAAGTCTGTGGTCCTGAGTCACTTTTGACCCTGGAACATTACTTACCCCTAGCCAAGCAGGAGACAGCCCTCTATGGTGGCCAGCAACCCAGACAGACACTCTAAGAACCAACCAGCTAAGGGGAATGCAGCAGCATGTGGTGGAGAACACAGAGAAAAAAGGGAAGGACCAGTGGAAATGAGAGGCATGGGGACCAGGGGGGAAGTGCAGTCACATTGTGGGCACACCAACCAAGGTCAAAAACAGAGGAGGGACGAACGGAAAACCAACATTCTTGGTAAACTTTCACACAAGTCACAATGCAAACCAAAACTACTAGAAAGCCAGTTCTATCATGTTCTATAAGCTGAATCTTGTCTGACAATCGAATGCTGGGAGACGAGAGGGCAACAAGGAAAGGGAAGAGTTGAGAAGCAAGCTTTCTGCACTTTTCCTCAAGAACTAGAATTTAAATTGTACATCAAAGGATCTCAAAACAAGACACTGTCAACAAAGGGTTACATGCAAACAAAGTTAAGGGTCTGCTTCTGGTCTGATGAGCCCAAATACAGGAACAAACTTAGGATACATGTCTTACGTACATATGTTAGCACAAACATACAAGTATGTTTCTATTAGAAAGATGGGCCATCTCCTGTCATGTGATTTACAGTCTCTGAAACCTGCTGGAGGGTCAGCTATGAGTCAGTTCCGACTTGACAGCAATGAGGGGGAAAAAGACATGCTAAAGGAACCCTGGTGGAGCAATGACTGAGAGCACAGCTGGGAGCTGAAAGGCTGTTGATTCAAATCCCCTGCAAGATGTGGTGACCTGCCCCTGAGAAAACAGCAGCAGCTCTACACTGTCACAGGTGGGAATACGAGCTGAAAACTGACCTGAGAGCAACAACAGCCCTGTGCCGTGCAGCCAGTCAGGCCCAGGGGACAGAGAGTGGTACAGAAAGTGGTACAGAAATGATAACTCTCTCTCACACCACCACCCACTTGTGTTTTAGTGCCTGTGTGGAGGCCAACACAACAACATAAGGTTTTACAAAAGTCCAACTCAGGGCAGTGACCGCAGAGGAAAGAAGGGGTGAGCAGCAGAATCCATTACAGAGCAACTTGTAGAGTTATTCATAAAGAGGTTACAGATCAAAAATCATGTTCTATTAATAAACAAGATGCTAACTGATAGGAAGTAAAGGAAGACTCATGAAGCTACAAGTTATTTACATCTCTACATGTTCTTAGCATCAACACCCAAGCTATAAACTCACCTTTTTATTAAATGTTACAGGCAAATTACCCACAAACACGGTCCTCTCATTCTTCAGCCTCTCCTCTTGGCTGAGTTGAATTTTCTTCTTTTGACTCCCACCTGTGTCATCTGCACCATTTAGCACTGCTTTGTCTGCTGCCTTAACCCCATCACCACATGCAGAGCCTTTTTTTTTCTGTCCAAGTTTCCTGTGAACTTCTTCTTCCAAATCAGCATTTGCTAGAGCACTTTCTCTTTTTTTAGGGAAAAACAACAGAAAGCTTTAAGTAAATGTCATGGGAGACAAGTGAATACTTGGCAAACAACACCTGAGAACAGATAACACTCTCCATGATTTAAAGACTTTCCAGTCACTCTGATTTTTCTAATAGGAATCTACCATTTACAAATACATCCAGATTTCCAAAGCCACATTTTCTAAATGATAACCAGTATTTTAAGAAAATCAATCTTTCAACTTAAAAGGAAAGAATTAAGTTCCCTTTCTGAAGACATGCTGAAGCACCCCTATGAGATGCAGTGGCTTTGAAAGTTCAGAAGCACGGCAACACTATTCTAAAGGGTGATCAAGGGGCTATAAAAGGGTGAGAAGCTGCACTGCAATCCCAAAGGCACACAGTTCAAATCCACCAGATGCTATGAGGGAGAAGGGTAGGCAATCTCCTCTTGTGTGACTGTCTTTAAAAGCTCACTGGAGGGTCACCCATGCATTGGTTCTGACCCGATGGCATACAACAACCTATCTACAATATATTTACACTGTAGAGACAGTATGGTAAATGGAGGGGGCAAGGTAGTGGGAGAGTGAAATCCATCAGATTTCCTATTTATAATAGTTCTGTAACATTTAAATGACTGCTTATCACCTATCGAGTTGGAACCTCAACCCTTAAGTGGGTTTCAGCAGCTGTAATTGCACTGGAGGAGCCTGCTCCTCCCTCTTGCTCTGATGGATTTGAACTATGTACCTCTGGTTTGGCCGCACAACTCCCCACTGACTAGGAAACCAGAGCTCCCTTACCAAAAAAAAAAATCTGAAATGCCAAGATCACTATCAAGTACTGGCTAGCACAGATTATTAAGTTCTGAGCAATAGCCCAAAAAAAGAGAAGTGGGTGAGCGTCTTAAGGAGGCAGGCAAGGAGGGTAGGAGGTGGCCATAAAAATGATTCACACTTTCCACCAACATTTACTAGAACCTATACACAAGTGTTGAGGACTCTCCTTCATAGGGTCGCTATGAGTCGCCTGCGACTCGACAGCACTTAACAACATCATACAGTTCTAGCAGCTGGTGGATTTGAGCCACCAGAAGCAGCAGCCTCTGGGTTAGCAGAGCAAATCCCTACTAACAATACTACCAGACAAGCAAAATGAAAACTAAAGTGGTAGTTATCACTATCCACATTATGAGAATCTAACAGGAAAAACACTGAAGGCAGGCATGCTCAGAGGAGGGAGGGCAGTGCTAGGCACGCAGTCCATCCTCATGCTGACCATAGTGACTTCACCAAGAGCCCAGAGAGATGGATTAGCTGTGTGGTTGGTAGTTCAGACCCAGCAGGCACTCCATGGTGAAGAGAGAGATGCTCTGCTTCCACAAACATGCCCGGCTCTGGAAACACTCCTACAGCTTTGCTGGCTCACAGCCAGAATCGACTTGGTGGCCATGGTTTTGAACAAATGAGCTGATGATCACCTTCCCAGGACTTTGTAAAGTACATGAAGGATTTTTGGATCTAGGTTTTGTTGCACAAATTACAGTATCTACCAGGAGTCCAGAAAATGAGGCTGTGTGGTAGATGAGAACCAGGTGCTATGGCCTCGATGTGAACGTGCTCAGAGAGGTCCAATCCCACATGAGACCAGAGAGGCTAGCACTGAGGAGATAGAACACTACCAATCAGAAGACCAGTGGGTATCAGAGAGAAAGAGGATTTGAAGTCCCAGGTAAGGCTGCAGAAGGTAGACTAAGGGTGGGGATAGTCAGAAATGGTGGTCTGACGAGGCAGAATTCAAATGAGAGTAGAGGAGGTAAGAAGAAGAGAAATTAAAGAGAAAAAGAAAAGGCAGCATCAGGAGGACAAGGCAGGAGACTCTTGGGTCACGAGCTTAGGCAACTACAGGAATGGTGCAACCAAAGGAGCAGGTGTGATGAGGACAAACAGTTCAGTTTAATGTTCTGCGTTTGAGGTCTACAAAGAACATGTAGGAACAGGTGCAGCTATACAGCTCTGGAAATTCAGACAGAAAGCGTGCCCAGACTGAAAGTAGAAAGTAAACCACAAGGTGACCACAAAAAGAATAGTAAAGAGCATCAACATTATGTAGTAGTCAGAAAAAAAAGGTGCCTGAGAGGATCAGACAGACACTGCTGTCAGAGACAGGGCTGTGTTAATGGCTCCGCATCAGGATTCACATCTTCCACGAAGGAGATGCGGGTTCAATTCCCAGCAAATGCTTCTCAGGCATAGTCCCCGTCTGTCAATGCTAGTCTACACATTGCTAAGATATTGAACACGTTTCAGAGAAGCTTCCAGATTACAACAAATTACAAAGAAAAGTCTGACAATATACTTCTGAGAAGACACCAATGAAGAACCAATGAATCACACTAGTATGATGGAAATGGATTTACGGATTCATCTGGGAACACTCACACCATTGTGTCTGAAATGGATTTACAAATTAATTTGGGAATGGGCAATGCTCAGCTTCACTCAGATCTTGGGGCAAATTTCACAGAAGTTAATCACCACCTTGGTACAGTAAGTTTAAGTAGAAGAGAAAAGCAGTTCATAATGACTATGAATTAATAGCTCGTGGAACAGGAAGTTTTCCTGGCCTACTGGGTAGGGAGCTGAGCTGCCAAACCCCCCTCACCCCCCCCCAAACCCCCACCCCAAGGCAAGTAGCTCAACTCCACCAGCTGCTCTGTGGGAGAAAGATGCGTAATCTCCTCCTATGTGATTTACAGATTCTGCAAATCTTGCTGGTGATTAACTATGAGTAGGTTTTGACTAAATAGCAATGAGGGAGGGAGTGAGGTGGAGTAAGAAAAGAGGTCATATGCAGAGAAAAAGGCAGGAAAAACAAGTACAATGGGACTTGAAGAGAGCAGTGAATACAGAAAAGCGGAGAGTGAGGGAGGAGGAAAGAGCACCAGGATCTAGGAATTGTACCTGGCTGACAATCCCTCCATCTCTGGAGAACATGAACGGACAGATGGAACAGCTTCAACAGAAAAGGCAAATACTAACAGCCTACAACACACGCAACTTCATTTTATCCTGATGCAAATAAACACCCTGTGTTTGTAAAATTAAGTAATTTGGTCTCTCATAAATATAGTTTATGAACTCCAAACTCACATAAACACTGAAATATTTACAGAGGTAACAAGAGGTAAGCCTTATTATTATGAATAAAGAGGATAGGCTGTTATTGTTGCATGAGTTGGAAGTGACTCTACAGCGGGTTTTCAAAAGCTATATACATCACAGGGGAGGAGAGTGCCCATATTTCTCCCTGGAGCAGTATTGGCCTCCAACACTTGACTCGCTAAGCCACCAAAAAGTGTAACTGCTGATGCAGTTATTTATTACATGGGTTCACAACCCAATCCAAGTTTTGTAAATGTATGACTTCCTATAATGATAAAAGCTAATTAAGAACTACAAATACGAAATGAGAAAAAAGTCAAGCCAACCTGCAGTGCAGAAATGTTAGTCTATAAAACACCGACTGAGAGGGTGTGGGAGCCGACCCACCTGTCTGCCAACCTCTGCTCTGAATCACGAACTTTCTTCTTCACTCTCTTTTTGGCAGGTTCTTGCAAACGTGGCTTTTGTAACTGCGATGCAATTTCTTCCTCCTCCTCATCCTGTTTCCTTTTCTTGGTTGTTTCCTTTCAAAATGTGAAGTAATGTTTGAGGCCTCATCCTTGGGAATGCTGAACGCGGGTGGTAACTAACCCAGTGGCCTCTGTGACACTTTTCCGTTTTCCCCGGCTGGGGCCCGGGAAAGGTGACGCTCATCAACCCAGGCCACTGCAGAACCTGCTCGGGGCCCGCGGTACCCGCGGCCAGGGCTTACCTGCAGGACAGGGACGTACACAGGCTGGACTAGGGACTCCGAAGGACTGAAGAGTGCGGCCAGGCGACACGCATGGCCGCCCGACAGGCGCTGGCTGTGGGATAAGCTATCGGAGACTTGACCGATGAGATAACCCGCAGTTGGGTCCCCGCGAGGGTCGTCAGGGCTCCGCCTAGGAACAAGGGACATTACAGGGCTGTCCCCACGGACTGCACTGCCGCCCTCTACGCCGTGCCGCCGCCCCGCGCGCCACTCACCCACGCGTGGTACTCCTCCTCCGCTGTTTCTTCGCGTCTACCGCCATGCTGGAAATGCGGCGGCAAGCGAGGCGCACTTCCGGGATGTTCTTCTATTTGGGTCACGCCCCTTCCGCTCACGGCCTCACTCAGGGTCACGTGGGCAGTAAATCACATGGGAGGAGATTGTCAATCCTCCAGTGGAGCGGGTGGTGGGTGGACTCCAACCGGCTGGTTAGTGGCAGAGGTCCCTGCCTGGTCTTGGGGTCTCTGATCTTCGGGACTCAAGGGTGTCTGGTCTCAGGGGTCTCTGATATTGAAGGTGCAGGGGCCTCTAGTCTCAGTCTCAGCCTTAGGGCATCTGGTCTTAGGTCCTCTGATTTTGGATTTTGGAGGTTTAGGGTCATTTAGTCTTGAAGCAATTGCTGCAGAAGGTCAACGACTGTAGATGGAGGTTGTTAACAATTACAGCTTGCTGGGCTCCACAGTCAACACTCTTGGCCAGCTGTCAGGAAATCAAAAGATAAATTGCAATGGGAAAATCTGTCAGGGACCTCTCCAGAGTACTGAGAAGCATTAATGTCAGACTAAGGTGCGCATGATTCAGGCCATCGTCTTAACAATTACTTGCTATGTTTCTGAAAGCTGGACAATGACTAAGGATGACAGAAATGAATTGATGCCTTTGAGTTGTGGTGCTATAGAAGACTCTTGAACATACCATGGGCTGCCAAGAAAACAAACAGATCTGTCTTGAAAAAAGTGAAACCAAGTTTCTCTTTGGAGGCTAGGATTTTGAAGCTCCGTCTCACATATTTTGGGCATGGAGACTGCAGGGACTGTTCCCTGGAGAAGGACATCATGCTCAGAAGGGTGGAAGGAGAGCACAGGAGAAGACCCCAGATGAAATGGATTGATAGAGTAACTGGGGCAATTAGGATAGGCGTGTCTGAGTCAGTGAGACTGGCTCAGGACTCAATGACAGGTAACAAAAACAACAACAGTCTTGGCGCTCTGGTGGTCTAGTGGGAAGAAGCTGTGCTACAATCCCGAAGGCAAGCAGCAGTTCAAGGCCTCCAGCTGCTTTGTGGGAGAAGGCTGGGCAATCTCTTCCCATGTGATTAACTGCCTCTGAAAATCCGCTGGAGGGTCAGCTATGGGTCAGTTCTGACTCTGGTACACAACAACAGCAACAGTCTCAGGGCAGGGGTGTCTGGTCTCAAGGTCTTGGAGCTTCTCAGCTCTTAAGTCTCAGAGCTGGCTGGTCTTGAGGTTTCAGGGGTGACTGGTCTTGGAGTTGGCTGGTCTTGGAGTGTCTGGCTTCAGGGTCTTGGACTTCTGATTTCAGGGTCTCTGATCTCAGGAACGTCTGATCTTGGGGGTCTCACATCTGGTTTTTTAGTCTCGGCATCTGGTCTCGGGGTCCCTGATATTGGGGACATAGGGGCATCTAGTCTCAGGATTCAGGGGCTTCTGGTCTTGGAATCTCAAAGGCATCTGGTCTCAGAGTCTGAGAGTCCTCTGATGTCAGGGTCTCAGGGGCATATGGTCTGGGGTCTCAGGCGCCTGGTCTTGGGATTTGGATCAGGCACACCCTACTTTAGTTTTTAAACTGACATCTTGAGTCTTTTGGAGAGGTTCTTGACTGGAGATTTTCCCGGTGCAATACATCTCCTGACCTGACTGCTGGTATCAAGGGGATTGATTGCAGTGAGAATTTTTGTTTTCATATTGAAATGTAATGTTGTTGTTGAGTACCGTCGAGTCAGAATCAACCCATAGCTGACCCTCCAGTGGGTTTTCAGAGGCAGTAAATTGCATGGAAGGAAACTGCCTATCCTTCTCCCACAGAGGAACTGATGGATTCGAACTGAGTGCCTTCAGAATTGCAGCACAATTTCTTACCAATAGACCACCAGAGATGTAATGGTGTTGTTGTTAAGTGTCGCCGAGTCACAGGCGACTCATAGTGACCCTATGAAGGAGAGTCCTCGACGCTTGGGTGCCTTTCATCCTCTCTCCAGGTTCATAGGGTTTCCGGAGGCAAGCTATTATGGAAGTGGATGCCACTCCTCCTTCCACAGAGATGTAATACCATACCAAAATCTCCTGCTTTTTCTTGAAACACCTTGAACACACCCCCGGTGAAGCAGTGGTCACACATGAGAGCAATTTGCTCTCACCTGGGACTCTGTCCACATTTATCAGTGGAAGTTTTTTCTGATTTAGTTTCTTCCCACTTAGTAGCTCTTAGTAGAGCCTATTTTCCCTTGTTTTTAGGGTTTCCAGAAAGGCTGAGTGTGCAATATCCAAATGGTGAGCAGTAGCATTCATTTATTTTCCACCTTTGTGTTGTCCAAGCATCTTGTGTTTCACGCCCAAGTCAATATTCCCCTTCAGTTCTTGCTGCTGCTGGCCCTGGCACCGGGCACTGGTTTTGCTGTTTGGGAAGCCATAATGCACTTTGCAGTAATGTTTTCAAACGAAAAACACAAAGGGAATATGCTTCAACACTCGGACACGTGTGATGCACAACCAGATGTGGAATTTACTTTGCCAAGTATAAACATATACTGTGAACTTTTTTTTCTGTAATTATATTTTATTAATTTTCATAAACATTTACAGAGATTTTGGGTTTCCATTCATTCATTGTTGCACTATTCTCTCTA